AGAACAAAACCAAAACAAAGGGGGGGAGGGAGGAAGTGTTGAAAAACCTGACACGTCTTTGGCCAGGCAGTTCAAGCACCTTAACAGGAAGCAAGAGGAACAAGGCACAAGACAAGAAAACAAACAAGACAGCACAGATAAAGCGGCGCCCAAGGCGGTGAGGGAGTAAAGTGCAATAAGGGGGGAAAGAGCGGGACAAGAAACGCTGGAAGCCCTGACAGTCTTCAGTCAGAAAATCCAGGCACGAAAGAAGAGAGGAAATCAGAAAGGGAAAAGGAGGGAGCAGAGCTCAAGGAAATTACGCAACAAGGGGCAATATCGTGGAATAAGGTCCCAGCGCACGAAGGATCAGGGTGTAATCCGTAGTATGGACGAAACAAGCCTGTAAGTAATATCTTTAGCCCAAATGCCGGAGGGGTTTGTTATATCTATCCCTTACCGAGATAAGGAGGCACTATATCTAACCCCTTTCTTAAACTCAGCTGCAGCAGCAGGTCTATCTACTGCTGTGCATTTGAGCCAATAGGGTCGCAGGGAGTGGCAATTACATGTAACTGCGCACACGATACTTGTGTAATTAAGGACATCATTGTTCAAAGGAGACGTGACTGATGTGTACTGCTCTTACTTTTTTCCCGGGATCACAAACAGGCCCGGAGTCAGCCTTTACATGGTGCCAGCCTCTCACTGGGAAAGTGTCCGTCTGGAGCGCAAGATTAGTCGACTTGATGCAGGAAAGTCTCTTCCCGGTTGAGCTCAGGAGGATTTTGCAGCTCATTTCGTATTCGTACTGGTAAATACAATCCTTCGAGTATTCTGCGCCATCGGAACGTAGTAAAGTTTGTCTGTCGTGACTGCTTTTCGATGATATGTTGATATTTCCACACAGTTTATTTTTTTGTCTGTTTACTTGTGCTATGGATCAACACGTTTTGGAACCGGAGCCCCGACATGGTCAGGTCATTGCATTGCTGTGCGAAGTTGCATTGTTCGATTCCAACCATGGATCCCATGTTGTCAAGACTGCCTTGAAAGGAAAGCTCATGCGATTTAAAGGTAGTATCCCTGCAGGAAGTACAGTTGTGCTCATTCATGAAGGGATGATTCACATGGAGAAGGATCAATGTACCATTTTTGCGACAGAGTCCACCAGAGTGTTTCCACGCCCATACATCAATGTCCATGACTTACCTAGTAGCTCTGCTTTCGTGTACAGCTTGTCTCATGCTAGGGTTAATTTCCGTGCTAGAGCCTTCATGTCTACCTGGGCAGCTGCGATACATAATTAATTTTTTGCATGCTTTTGATAGTGATGCAGTGGATTTGCCACTGCGTCCTTTTGCACATCGATACGGTGGGTGTTTTTGTTTGGGCTCTGGCCCCGTTTTTTGTGTTTGGTTTTGTTTCTGCTGTTTGCTTCGCTGTTTCTGCTGGCGAAACGCAAGTCTGGCATGTCCATGACTTACTCAGAGTTGTTGAGTTATGTTCAGGGGCAGGTTTCATGGGAGTAGGACTGGAACACAGCAATTTCGAAGTGGTCCTCCGATGCGACTACAATGACAAAATGCTTCAGCTAGCTCAGCATCAGTCACCTGTGTGCGTAGGAGATGTCTGTACAGATGCATTGATTGCCTCGATTTGCAGCACCGAGAAACCAGGTACCATTGCCAGTGGAGTAGTCTTGGAGACATGCGACAAGAGCACGACAAACGTGCTCTCACTCTACCTGGAGTGCTGCGCTTATTTTTTTCCCCTTCCAACGCCTTCATGGCTTCCGCCAGGTCGTTCAACATGTTTGAGAGCATGTTGCAATCCTGGAGTGCTGCGCTTAGCCTTTTTGTGCCGCATAGAAGCAGTGATTTTAGAGTGCGTGTAGGAAATGCTGGTTCACTCGCCTTGGGTGGCATGTTCTCTTCAACCTGGCACGGTGCTTCGGTTTCGGATGGCAGGGTGGACCTGGCTGATTCCACTTGTCCAGATGTGGGTGTGACTTTGGTGGCAAATACCCTTTCAGTCACCAACTTTCGAAAATGAATGGCGTTTGGACTGCTTTGGGGCCAAACACAGCATCTCTACTCTCCAAAGTTTTTCCATCCATTCCAACATGTTGGTATGTGGATCGATGAGTTGTTCATCTCCTTGCATAAATTGCAAATGCCTCATCAATGTGGACCCAACCCATGCTGCTTGGATTGGAGATGCTAATTGTCCCAAGGCACACAACGCCAATTTGCAGTCCTTGCCCCAACACATGTTAGGGAGCATACGTTCAGCAATGCCAGCTCGGCTGGGTGAACATGTCGAAACTGGGATAGACATTGTTACCACATGTGAGGGTACCTTGCAACCTGATCAAAATGCCGTGCAACTCCTTCTGAGCAAGACGATCATCATGGAATGCGAATCTCCGGCAACCACATGGACATGGTCCTAGTTGGCTACCACATGAGTGAAGACTGGTCTGCATTTGCCCCCTCCAGAGCATCTCATTTTTCTCAAAACCATGTGATGCAAAACGTTCTAACTCATACAAATCCAGCGACAACTGCTCCAGTTCCTGCTCTGTACACGCAAGGAAATGATCAAGGAGATCAGCTACCAATGGCATGGCTGTTGAAATTGGCATCGGAATCCAAGGCACTCTGCCAATTGACGGATGCGTGATGATGCACCACCAGCGGCTTCTGCGGGTGGGCCACAGCTGATGCAGGTGGTAGACACCCTGGGACAGACAGTACCCTGTGAGGAGATAGAAGGCATGCAGGACGGATTGGACCATGGACAAACCCCCGTCTCGGCTCACAAGCTTGGCAGAGTCTGAAACGAAACCTGAGGGAGAGATCCAGGCAAACGTCACCAAACGACCATGTCCTTGCCATGACCAAGACATCACATCATCAGAAATCAGGCAGTCGGTGAGAGGCCCTTCAGAAGGTACCTTAAGGGGGGAGCTTGAGAAATTGAATTTGAAGGTCCGTTGAGGAAGGCTTCTTCGAAGCCCCCTTAAGGTGCCTTCGAAGCCTTCAAAGCTCCCTTAAGGTACCTTCAAAGGCTTCAGCTAAGGCTTCAACGCTCGAAGCCACCTTAAGGTACCTTAAGGGAGCTTCGAAGGCTTCGAAGGCACCTTAAGGGGGCTTCGAAGAATTCGTCCAAGCCCGCTTAAGATACCTTCGAAGTCTTCGGCGAAGACCCCTTAAGGTACCTTCGTCGAAGCCCCCTTAAGGTACCTTCGAAGGCTTCGAAGCCCCCTTAAGATACCTTCGAAGCCTTCGAAGCCCCCTTAAGGTACCTTAAGGGGGCTTCGGTTCCTCGTTCACCCCCCCCCTCCCCCCCGTCCCCCCCTTCGGCAAAGGCTCAAGGTTCCCTTCGTCGAAGCACCCTTAAGGTACCTTCGAAGGCTTCGAAGCCCCCTTAAGATACCTTCGAAGCCTTCGAAGCCCCCCTTAAGGTACCTTAAGGCCCCCTTAAGGTAGCTTAAGGGCTTCGGTTCCTCGTTCACCCCCCCCTCCCCATCCGTCCCCCCTTCGGCAAAGGCTTGAGGTACCTTCGAAGTCTTCGGCGAAGACCCCTTAAGGTACCTTCGAAGGCTTCGAAGCCGCCTTAAGGTACGTTCGTCGAAGGCATGATCTAAAATCTAATTCGCTTGCCTTCCACAATGCCATGATCTAAAATCTAACTCTTTATTTAAACTTCCACCCCCTTCTTGCCTTCCACAATGCCATGATCTAAAATCGAACTCTTTATTTAAACTTCTCCCCTTGCCTTCCACAATGCCATGATCTAAGAGTCTTTTCACCCAGCGTGGTGATAACTCTTTATTTCCTGAATCTAAAAATGTGCGTGCCTGAATGCAGGCTAAGCTTTCTTTTTCAACCACCAAAGTTTTTTGTCTTAACCAACTCTGTATTTGGTTTTACAAATCTGCTGCAACGCCACTGTTTGTTGTTTTTGTGGTCTTGTCATGTCGTCATTTTCCTCATGTCTCATGCAAATGACGTATGTTTTCTCCCACAGTATTTTGTTCAAGAGGTGGGTAGGTGGGTTTCGCGTTTTTTACGACGCCATGTTTGAAATTTGCTGAGGGGGGTTCTGCGTGGTGTATGGCTGAGTTTTTCGATGTTGTGATTCGAGATGTTGAACTGTACAATTCAGGGCTTGGGACAGACACATCTGAACCTGTTCCTACAGTCAATTCACATGTTGACAGCGTTGTGGACTCACTGACAGTTTGGAGCCGTACACATACAGGTTTTCAGAATCCTGCTCATGCAATCACTTTGTCAGATGGCAATGCGTTACATGATGAAATTTCTGCTGATCCACCAGAACTTGAACTTTTGAATCAACATGAAACATGGACTGGATCTCAGATTGACCGTGCCTTGCAGGAAGCCCACTTCATCAACAGCCGTGCTACGGGCCAGAAGCTGCCTTGGGAATCAGGTGTATTTGCAACCATTTTTGACAGCAGTGACAGTTTTCTTGCATCACCGTTAAGTTTGTGTCCTGTACCACCTGAACTTGATGATGCACAACAGTTTGATCAGGGTGCTGAGTCTTTGCCTAGCATGCCAAGCAATGTTTTGAAACGTGATCGAACTGACAACGTTTTTGCAAATGTTGTCAAGATGAAGCGTGATGTCGATCATCTTACTGAAGTTTCAGAGCTGTGGGCCAAAGCCTTAAAGAAGTGGCACACGGTGCTAGCGTGTACCGGCTATGCAGGCTTGGTCGGAGCCACAGTCAGAGACATGGTATGCGATGGCAAAGAACTGGAAGGTACCCTCAGAGATGTTTTTGGCAACAAATCATGTCGTACTGCAAACAAAAGGGCTTCAACAATGTTGGCACTGTTCTCTTGGCTTGACAGGAAAAAACTGCAGGTGTGGCCAATCAAACCAGAATATGTTGCAGCGTATCTCAATGAATCCAATGTTGGTGGAGCTGGCAGCACAAAGGGTAAAACTTTGATGGAGGCACTTCGTTTCTGCAAATATGTCATGAGACTGCCAGAGCTGGATGAGATCATCGACGACCCCGTGTTGACAGGCCGTGTCAGGCGCTTGGATGCTGCAAGAGACACTGTCAAACAGAGTAGACCGCTTCTGCTTTCAGAAGTTAAATTCATTGAGGAGTTCCTGGTATCCGACTTGAATATTTTTGACAGGTACATTGCAGGATGCATTTTATTTGCCATTTACAGCAGGTCGAGATGGTCAGATCTGGCGTTCCTCAGTGATTTGACCCTTGATACAACAGAGACGGAACTGGGACTTGTGGGTTTTGTGGAAGGTTCAACAAGGTTTCAGAAGACAAGTACGACAGCTTTGAAACGGGCTATGCAGATGCCACTGGTTGCACCCATACGAGGGGTGACAGAAAGGTTGTGGGCTGTCGAGTGGTTTGACATTCTCAAGCAAGTTCAGTTCAACTTGACTGCAAAACCCATAGGCGCCGTATGCAGGCCACCGACCAATGGCATGCTTGGTACCAGGCATCTATCTTCAGAAGAGATGGGAGATTTTCTCAATCATGTTCTGGGGCTTACAGGTGAAAGAGTTGTGACGAGTCATTGCATGAAGACCACAACACTCACTTGGTGTGCAAAATATGGATTGGAGGAACCAGCAAGGACACTGCTGGGCCATCATGAGTTGCAGTCTCAGAGCCTGGCTTGTTACTCTCGCGACATGCTCAGTCGCCCGCTGGCCTTGTATGAATCGATGCTGCTGAACATCAGATCAGGCAGTTTTCCACCAGACGAAACAAGATCGGGCAGGTTTGCCCAACGCAAAGGCGATGTTGCCTCCGCATGTTCAGAGGAGCCGATGCGTGTGAGAGTCAAGGTGGAGAACTTCCCTGAGGGACTCAGCACTCAGAGTCGGAGTGAAGCAGACCATGTTCTTGGTGTGGTCGATTTGACTGAAAGCAGTTGGTCGCTGGTTGGCAGCCCTGTCAGTGAACAAGACGCTCGACAGGAGAGTCCGGCCAGAGCCTCATCTGATGATTCCAGCAGCAGCTCAACAAGTTCCTCTGCACAGGAAGAGCCACTGCAACAGAAGTATGCTTTGTATGGTGAAGTGAAAGATTGCAATGAGCCAGTGTATCAGCACAAGCAGAGTCGAGTGCTGCACAGACCCAACAAAGTTGCAGGGTCCCTTGCGTGCGGCCGTAGGCTCGGTGACAACCACAGGTTTCTGGAACAGGGGGCTTCCTTCAAATGGGCGAGATGCTCTGTATGCTTCAAAGGTGAAGTTATTACAAAGACGGATCAGCTGGCAGAAGCGATGGCAGCTATCCATGCCAGGCGTACAGCTCAGTAGTGACTTTTGCAAAGTGATTTCATGAAACTTGTGGTTTTTCGAAAGGTTTTGTTTCACCATTGTCATGGAAACATGTGTCACAGTTGCATGGGTCAAGTCAAAGACTCTGATCACGCTGATATGGATCAGTCTGAATCTCAGCTGGGGCCAAAAAACATGCGGGACCTGATGTCCGGCTTTGTCGGAAATTTCTTTCAAGACTTGAATGCAAGTTGTCAATGCTTTTAATCTAATGGGCACATGACCGTGAATGCACGGCAAATGGATTCACAGTGTGAGTCAAATGAATGTCACGTTGTCTGAATGCAGCAACAGTTCCATGTGAGTGCATGAAAATTTGGATTTCTCGAATGCATTGCTGTGCAATGATTTCAGGTATGTCGTCAGGTCCCAACAGGTCTATATGTGACCGTGGCTCCAGCATGCTTTCGAATTCAATCATGAGTGGTATTCACGCCAACTCATGTTCACCTTGATGTATCAGTTTGCAACCTTTTCCGTGGAATTTTCAACATGTACATTTTCAGTTCTCACCCGCTGAATCTTGTAACAGTTTGCAACCGTTTTCATGGAGTCTTCAACATGTGCATTTTCAGTTTCCACCCGCTGAACCTTCGTGAAGCTTCATGGCAAGCAACACCTTGTTGGAATCAGTTGCGGCGTTTGAGACGCAAGCCAGACGTGCTGGGCTCAATGAACAATGGGTCGAAGCCTTTGGACGAAACAACTTGAACAGACTTGGAAGACTTGCATATGCAGTAACTACTCCTGGTGTTGCGCCTTCAACGGAACAAGTGACAGATCTGATGAATCAGTTGCGCTTTGGTGTTGGCCCTACTCTTAGTGAGATTGCAGCAGTGAAGCGTGTGATTTTCGAAGCTCAGACATTGACCATTGCAAGTTTGCGATCAACTGTTCATTCACCTGATGATGCCAGTACAAAAAGGGTGGCACCAGCTGAGCGATCAGCGCGTTTGGAAGCGCAACGATCACGACTTCAAGGTTTGGAACTGTCGGGGCCTATGGAACCGAGTCACTGGTTGTATGATCAATTTTCAGCCATGCTTGAGACAGGTGAACTCAAATATATAGCTCCTGGCAAGTGCATGACTCGTCAGCAGGAGTTGGCAGGTGAGAGGCCAGATAAGCAGATCAAGTTGGATGAGACTCGTAGCAGCTTGGTTGTAAAGGACAAACAGCAAGAACAAGAAGCAGAAATTGGAAGTGACCTCAGCCTGCTGCAAGCTATGACTCGCCGTGCACTGGCGATGGACCTGGTGGGTATTGCTACTTTTAATACTGTCATGAAGTTTGTCAACCGCATGTTTACCCTGATGACACAAGCGCCAGCACCAGGTTTTTCGAAGCCAGGACATGCTCAGCTCCTTAGAGCAGATCGGCAGGCCTTCATGAGGTTGGCAGAGACTGTGCAACCACCTTTTCATGTCAACGCAGCAGGTGTTTTGCCACTTGACTTGGCCTTTGACCAGTTGCACAATGATGTTACAGTTACATATCACATGTTGCCTGTGCCATTGACGCGTCAGTCAGACAATGACAGAAGGGCTGACCCGAACAATACAAAGACCAAGAAGCCGGTGACCAAGCCTGGAGGTAACCCCAGTCCAAAAGGCAAGGCAGGTGGCAAAGGCAAGCGTCAGCCAATGCCGCAGCAGTTACATGGGATGCATCACAAGACACCGGCGGGCAAGGCGATTTGTTTCAATTTTAATTTGGGCAAGTGCAAAGACAAGAAATGCCCCAGGGAACACGTGTGCTGTGTTCCTGGGTGTTACAAGAGCCATCCACAGACTGAACACGAAGGTCATTGAAAACAGGATGGCAGAGGATACAAAAGGAAATCCAGTCAATGCTTTCTGAACAATGTTGAGCCCAAGATGCCAACTAATGATGGAGCACTGCCCTCTCCGAGAAGTATCCCTCTTGATGGCTGTTTCGGTATAGAGCTTTTTTGTGGGACAGCCGGCCTTACTGCGTGTATCAGGGCCCTTTTACCTGACAGTTTTGGAATTGATCACAAAGTGAAACATCCTAAAAGCCAGGTGATTTGCCTTGACCTTCAGAAACCTGAAGTGCAAGAAATGGTCATGCAGTGGGCGTCGGATCCCAAGTGCGTATGGGTTCACTTTGGGGTACCATGCGGCACCGCTTCTAGAGCAAGGGAACGCAGGATGTCCAAGGCCCATTTTGGGCCCAGACCAATGAGGTCGAAGCAATATCCAGATGGACTTTCCCCCACACTTGCTTAACCAAAATTCACGGGACAGACTTAGAGCTGCAAACCGTTTGTATCACTTTATGCAGAAGCTCATTTTGAGTTTGCCATCCACAACAGTTTGGACTATAGAGAATCCCCTCCGGAGCTGGCTTTGGCAGACATCCTATTTTCAGACAATAAAAAGTCAGACACAGGTTTTCTTCTTTCAGTTTGACATGTGTATGTTTGGAGGGCGTCGATTAAAGAAGACTGGTATCGCCACAAACTGTGCAAATGTTAATGCTCATGCAATGCTATGTGATGGACTACATGAACATGCACCTTACGAATTCCGCAATGGACAATTTGACACTGCCTTGGAAGCCGAATATCCAAGGAGCTTTTGTGAAGCCCTGGTGCGTGGGGTGGCGGAGCATTTACAACAACTTCATGGCTGGGGACCACTTGATTTAGCAAAGAAAATCAAGCTTGCGAGGGCTGCAGCAACAGTAACAAATCAGCAACCCAAGCGTATGCCACAGTTGGTCCCAGAATTTGAGAATGTACGCCAAATTTTACATGTACCTCACGATGTGGCTTTTTCACTTGACTCCAAGCGGAACACGTTGCAATGCCATGTTTTTCAATGTGACAATGCCGAAAATACTGAAATTTTGATTCCATGCCAATCCCGAATGTTGCGCCGCACTCCTCAAGGGGGGTGTTCCAGTGTCGGCGCTGGGCAAACAGGTCAGACTGACAACTGCAATACGGTATCATTGGATTTACTGAAAGCCAATGCTACGCAAGGCCTGGTTGCAAACAAATTGGATAATGATGGTGGCGGTGTGTGGACATGCAACAGGTGCTCGACAGTTGTCCACGTAAAATGTGACAGCACCGTCAAAGCTGATGAGATTATTTTTGGCTTGTATTGGTCGCCGGAGAGATTTCTGGCTCAGGTGGCAATGGCTGGGCATCCACAACATCTGGTTTTGGGTATGTCCGAGGCCGTGCAGACTGCAGTTGATGCCAATGTTCAATTGTCATACCATGACATCGTCATCCACAGGTGCAGATGGTTTGGTAAATATTTGCCGCTTGCAAAATCCTTGAGAGACGAAGAAAACGAAGTATTATCAGCGATGCCTACGCCAATGCGGGCTATTATGTCTACAAAACGCATCGCGCTACTGGAAAAGATCTTGCGGGATGAATCCTACCCGGATATGGGCCTTGTGGATGACCTCAAGAGAGGCTTTGACCTTGTTGGCGAGTTGCCTGAGTCAGGTGGAGTCCTGCCTCAGAAGTTTGTACCAGCTACCATGGCAGTAGCTGAGTTGAGTTCGAACGCGGCCAGAGCTCGTTTTGCTTTGAAGGGGTCCAATGCTTCCAGCGGAGATCCTGACCTTGACACAAAACTTTATCAGAAGACACTGGATGAGGTGGACAAGGGCTGGTTACGTGGACCTTTGGAATGGTCTGACTTGGAAAGCAATGCAGTTGTCTCAAAGAGATTTGGCTTGCAGCAAGGCGAGAAGTTGCGGCCTATAGATGACTACAGTATGAGCTCAGTGAATGCAACAGTCACTGCAAAGGATCAGGCTACAGCTGACAATGTGGATGTGATTTGTGCAATGTTACTGCAGTTGATGGCAGGCTTGAGAGAGCGTGGCAAGAGCACTGTGTTGCGGGCAAGATCCTTTGATCTAGCAGCAGCCTACCGTCAGCTTTGTGTCGCACCGACATCCAAACCTTTCTCATACATATGTGTTTACAACCCACACAAAAAGACCAACGAAGTCTTTGCTCAAGTGTGTCTGCCTTTTGGCTCCAAAGCGGCAGTGAACGCTTTCATTCGCTGCTCAAGGTGTATACAGTGGCTTGCTTGCAAATGTCTTTACTTGCCAACTACATGTTATTATGACGATTTTGTGGTTGCTTCACCTCCGCAGTTGCAGCAGAGCAGTGAATCATCAATGTGCTTGTTGTTTGAACTTCTCGGATGGGCCTACGACAAGGAGGGGCCCAAGGCGGACACATTTTCAGAGCTTGTTTCCTCACTGGGAGTTGTCATTGACCTATCCAAATCTGTCTCTGGACAGGTCGAAGTCATGAACACTGAAAAACGCAAGAAAGATTTGATGGACATTATTTCCACCGTACTGAAGGATGGTGTTTTGCAATACAAAGATGGTCAAATTTTGAATGGCAAGCTTGCTTTCGCGCATGGGCAGATTTTTGGGCTGTCAGCAAAATACGTTTTACAGTCTGTATATGATCATATATATGCCAAGCCTTTTAGAGCGAAAATCAGTGATGAATTGACCAATGCTTTACAATTTTTTCGAGACAGGTTGGTTGCCAGCCTTCCCAGGATGATCAACATGGCGACCAGACATACTAGGTTCATTTTGACTGACGCCAGTTTTGAACCAACCTTGAATGGCGGTATAGGGGGTGTGCTCTGCAGTCCCGACGGCAAAGTCGAGCAATGGTTCCAAATGCAGCTGAAACCAGAACACATCGAACCCTTTATGACTAAGGATCAAGAAAATGCCATTGCTGAGTTGGAAACGCTAGCAGTTGTCATGGCGATGCGAGTTTGGTCGTCAGTCGTTTTTTCGCAGCACCTTGTTTTCTGCCTGGACAATGATGTTTCAAGATTTGGATTGATAAAGGGATATTCCAGTGCACCTGGTGTCACGAGCTTGGTAAGACTTGCTTCTCAGATTTGCGAGGAGGCTATGATCCTCCCTTGGTTTCTGCGTGTGGCATCACCTTCGAACATAGCTGACTTTCCTTCACGCCTTCAAAAGCACTTTTTGCTCCACACATGTGATATGGTGCCTGAAAATGAAACACTTGGAGCTTTCGAGCATGTTGTGAATTTTGTAAATCGAACCCATTAGAGAATGGGGGGGATCCATGGGTCCGAACGAGGATGGCCGAAAAGCTCCAACTCTGCTGAGAAAAAAGAATGGACCTTTGTGCGTTTCATGTCATTGTGCTGATGTGTCGTTTTCTGAGTGCTTTGTGTTTTACGGTTTTTGCATGTGAATTTTTGAATACGGCGTTTTCGTTACGAATGCGTTTCGAACTTCCGTTTTATGGCACGTTTGCGAACTACCTACGATGGGTAGTGTGCTGTTTGTCTTTACTCCTTTTATGGCGTTGCTGTTTACTTTGGTGGTTTTTATGTGAAAGGAAATAAGAGTCTTTTCACCCAGCGTGGTGATAACTCTTTATTTCCTGAATCTAAAAATGTGCGTGCCTGAATGCAGGCTAAGCTTTCTTTTTCAACCACCAAAGTTTTTTGTCTTAACCAACCCTGTATTTGGTTTTACAAATCTGCTGCAACGCCACTGTTTGTTGTTTTTGTGGTCTTGTCATGTCGTCATTTTCCTCATGTCTCATGCAAATGACGTATGTTTTCTCCCACAGTATTTTGTTCAAGAGGTGGGTAGGTGGGTTTCGCGTTTTTTACGACGCCATGTTTGAAATTTGCCCGCCCTCCCATACCCTCTTTTTCTTATATCTTCCCATGAAATGTCATGGGTTCTTTGTACCTGAATGCAGGTTTCTTTCTCACCCTTACTCCATCCCTCCGAACGAGGATGGCCGAAAAGCTCCAACTCTGCTGAGAAAAAAGAATGGACCTTTGTGCGTTTCATGTCATTGTGCTGATGTGTCGTTTTCTGAGTGCTTTGTGTTTTACGGTTTTTGCTTGTGAATTTTTGAATACGGCGTTTTCGTTACGAATGCGTTTCGAACTTCCGTTTTATGGCACGTTTGCGAACTACCTACGATGGGTAGTGTGCTGTTTGTCTTTACTCCTTTTATGGCGTTGCTGTTTACTTTGGTGGTTTTTATGTGAAAGGAAATAAATTCCAACTCTTTATTTACACTTCCTCCCCTGCCTTCCACAATGCCATGATCCAAAGTCAAACACTTTATTTAAACTTCCCTCCGCTTGCCTTCCAATGCCATGATCTAAAATCCAACTCTTGTTTTTAAAACTTGAATCTAAAATCTGACTTTTTATGAACTTCCCCCTCCCTTGCCTTCCACAATGCCATGATCTAAAATCTACTGTTTATTTATAGTTCCACTCTTGCCTTCCACAATGGTATGATCTAAAATCGAACTCTTCAAAATTTTCCCCCTGCCTTCCACCATGCCATTGTCTAAAATCTAACTTAAACTTCCCCCCGCTTGCCTTCCACAATGCCATGATCTAAATTCCAACTCTTTGTTTAAATTTCATCCCCGTGCCTTCCACAATGCCATGATCTAAAATCTAACTCTTTGTTTATAGTTCCACTCTTGCCTTCCACAATGGCATGATCTAAAATCGAACTCTTCAGTTCCCCCCTTGCCTCCCACAATGCCTGATCTAAATTCCAACTCTTTATTTAAATTTCCCCCTTGCCTTCCACCATGCCATGGTCTAAAATCTAACTTAAAACTTCCCCCCGCTTGCCTTCCACAATGCCATGATCTAAATTCCAACTTTTTGTTTCAATTTCATCCCCCTGTCTTCCACAATGCCATGATCTAAAATCTAACTCTTTATTTAAACTTCCCCCTCCTTGCCTTCGACAATGCCATGATCTAAATTCTAACTTTTATTGAAACTTCCCCCCTTGCCTTCCACAATACCATGATCTGAAATCTAATTCTCTTGCCCTCCACACGACTGCCCCCAGGCAGTCGGTGAGAGGCCCTTCAGGAAGGTACCTTAAGGGGGGAGCTTGAGAAATTGAATTTGAAGGTCCGTCGAGGAAGGCTTCGAAGCCCCCTTAAGGTGCCTTCGAAGCCTTCGAAGCTCCCTTAAGGTACCTTCAAAGGCTTCAGCCAAGGCTTCAACGCTCGAAGCCACCTTAAGGTACCTTAAAGGAGCTTCGAAGGCTTCGAAGGCACCTTAAGGGGGCTTCGAAGAATTCGTCCAAGCCCGCTTAAGATACCTTCGAAGTCTTCGGCGAAGACCCCTTAAGGTACCTTCGTCGAAGCCCCCTCAAGGTACCTTCGAAGGCTTCGAAGCCCCCTTAAGATACCTTCGAAGCCTTCGAAGCCCCCTTAAGGTACCTTAAGGGGGCTTCGGTTCCTCGTTCACCCCCCCCCTCCCCCCCGTCCCCCCTTCGGCAAAGGCTTAAGGTACCTTCGAAGGGGGCTTAAGGTACCTTCGCCGAAGGGTGCTCCACGACTGCCCCTCAGAAATCGATTCCAGAGGTGGTGTACCAGGTTTTGCAGTGACCAAACGAATCAAGTTGGCCCCAACCAAACATCATGACCGAGGTTGCAGGAACTCAACTGTTGCGTGTGATGCCAGCCAACTGACCAATTCATCCGGGAGTCAGGACCCTGCCTGCACTGAACATTCGGTAGTGCCTGCACAGCCGCCTATGCTGTCACATGCATCCGATCATCCAGCCGTCTTTTCTGAAAATGAGCAGATCCACAGTCATGATCGTGAAAGTAGGTTTGGCCCCACCCGACCCGATGCAATGCCTCTTCCACGTTTAGGGTGTGGAGGCCCCTCCTATGGAATGTTGAACCAAGTTCAAGGGCAGCAAACCGCATTGTCAGGTGAGCTTTTGCCACCCAGTGCAGCCATGCCACACTCCTTTGCCAGTGGAAATGCGATACAACTTGATGAAGGCCAAGCAGTCCGTCTTTCTACCCCACCAACCGGTGGTGTACCGAAGTTGAAACCGACTGACGTCACTGTCAGATGAAGGCCGAGCAGTACCTTCCACACGTCCAGGGTGGGGAGGTACCAACCTAGAGGAAAACAATCAACAGGCAGGTACAGTAAGCAAAAGGGAAGATGACCTTGCCCTGCAGCCGCAGGAAAAGAACGATGTTATCCAAGCCAAAGATTTGCGTGCAGAAACAAGCCAGTCCGGAAGTCCCAAATGTGCCCATGCCCCACTGCCAGGTACCGAAGTTTGCAGCCTCGCCGATCCCGATCCCACCCGCAGATGTACATGCCAAGCCTCTTCCACGTTTCGGGTGTGGAGGCCCAGCCCCTGCTGAGATCAAAGGAAGTTCACAGATAGGCACCAAACAAGATTCTGCAAGCTCCAACCAATCTGGGGCCCCTGCGCGTGATGATTGCATGCCTTTGCCAGCAAATTTCCACCGAAGACCCGAAGAACATGTGATTGCCAGCTCCAGCTATCTTGGACTAGTGCCCGAGGTGTCTCAGCCAGGTGCCAACCAGTGTTGTTCCTCCCCTAAGCCCCAAGCCATGCCTCTTCCACGTTTAGGGTGTGGAGGTCCCGCCCCAAAATGTCATGAGTCAGATGGAACACCAGAAAGTGCAGAACTGCCTAGCCATACCACAACCGGTCGATTGCACGACATAAGTGTTCATAGCTCGCCAGGACATGTGAAATCAGAGCAACCGGCTGGAGTTGAAAAGCCCAGAACAGTGGATGAAAAGCACCAAGGAAGTGAATTGACACCCCAAACCAAGCCTCTTCCTGTGGAAATATCCGGTATTTTTGGCTGGTGAGCGAGGAAAGCTTCTGGCTTTGTGCATATTTGGATGAACGAGATGAAGTGGTACAGTGTGCGAGTTCTGCTTTGGTGGGGCGTGCATATTCTGCTTTGGAGAATTCAATGCTGGCATTCTTTGAGGAAGCAATTTGGAATTCGTGACTCCGGTCACCGGAAGAATGCTCGGGTGAGACTACAACATCAATTGGCCCGACCAATTGAGGTAGTGTCATCTTAGTGTTCAGAATTGTGTTTGGATATGGCATTGATATAACATTCGTGGATGCGGTGAGACTGGTATCTGTTGGGATCTGTCTTATGGTAACCATGAATATTTGTAAATAGATGCGAAGCCTGGAGCACTTTTCGGACATGTCTTGATGACAGTGAGGAGTTCAGGATTGAGCTGAGAACGTTTGCATGCATTTGGAATCAATCTGAATTGAGGACGTTTGAATGCATGAGTGCATTTGAAGTAATTCAAGAATGTGAACATTTGAATGCAAGTGGAATCGTATGCATAGAAAGTGTTTATGAATTCAAAGAACCTGGAATGGAGTTTCCAGAAACCCACAGAATTTTTCAGCGAAAGTTGCGTTCTGTGAACTTTACTTTTATGGGAAACTTTCATAGAAAGTTTCCGCACTGTGACGAACCGATTTGAACTTTGAACTTTGGACTAAACTGAGTTTAGAGTGGCTGCTTTTTTTTGGTAGCTGATTGTGTAACTGTGAATAGTCGACACGTCGTTTTGAGTTTGTTGGTTGACAGGTTAACTTCGAGACGGTGGTCGCCTATGCCCCTCAATGATGACAACAGACCAAGCACCCGTCATCATGGTGAGATGACAAAATGGGGTGCTGGTCGTCTGAGGGGGGCAAAAGCGACCGCAGTGTCATTGTTGCCTGTCTCTGGTTAGTGGAAGAAAGTTTTTGAGAGAAAGATCTTCGGATCTTGAACATTTAAACAATTGTTGCAGTCAAGCTGTATGGTTGCTTTTGGCTCAAAGCCAAGGAAACTGCAAAGAAGTAGTCTGAGACAGTCACGTGGTTTAGTCCAGTTTGTCTTGCTTGTCTTGCTTGTTGCTTTGGTTCGTGTGTTTTTTGTTGCTACAGCACCTCTGAGAGAGCGTCCAAAAGGGTTGAGCTGCTCCGAACCTGAGAGCTTGTGTGTGGGAACCGCGTTTGCGTAAACTTCGCTGTGCGTAGGTTGTAGGAACTGCATTTAGGTGTAGGTCCTGGGATTTACGTAGAAAGGATTTTTGAACCAACTTGGGTTTGAATTTTCCGCATG